ATTTGAAGGCATCTAAAAGCCCCAATGTCTTTATTTTGATTTTTGGTCATTTTGGTTGATCTTTTTAGTATTAGGAGAATCCATGCACAAATGGTGGTAGTTGGCTTTGTTCCCAATGAATATTTGGTAACCAAATTGTTGATATTGTATGCAAAGGCAGGGGATTTAGTAACTGCTGGCAGTCTGTTCAATGAGTTGTCGAGGACTACCTTAATTTCATGGAATGCAATAATTGCTGGTCATGTGCAAAATGGTCTTGTAGAAATGGGATTGAGTCTTTATTATAAGATGAGACAGAGTGGTTTGACACCAGATCAGTACACCTTTGCATCAGTCTTTAGAGCGTGTGCCACTTTAGCAACATTGCAGCAGGGCAAGCAAGCAAAATACTTCGTTGTTTGTCTTTGCATTATCAGCTGCTTATATGTATTGACCCTTTCTCATCTATAAAAATTATACTAATGCCCTATTCTAAAGGTGGTTTTTGAGTGTGAAAGTATTTTTCTTACATTTTCATAGTTAAACTAATTAAAATATACATGTTCATTCATGTAGGGAATAAGTCGATATTCACCAATAATTAATAAAATTTGGATATAATTAACCCAACAGTTCGAATTTTGATGCATTTCCACTTGAAAGTTTGTTTCTCAAATTTGCAGCAGAAATAGTTTTTGGAAAAATATTTCAATTCTCTCCTCATTTCATGCTCTTTCATAATGCATCACAAGTTGCTTACAATTGAGAAAGAAATTTGATATTTTGAGAAACAATTGAGAAAAAAAATTTCAATTATTTGGTAGCTATTTATTATCTTTTTGCTTTTCAATCTCCCATTTATCTTAATTGCTGATGTGGCAGGGAAGGATAATCAACATAGCATCAATTGTTGGTCTTGTTGGTAACGTTGGGCACGCCAATTATAATGCTGCAAAGGCAGGGGTACTTGGCCTCACAAAAACCATGGCAAGGGAATATGTGAGTAGGAATATTAATGTGAGTTTTCCAGATATGTTTCATTTCATTCTTGTAATTAGACACAAGAATGACTTTTTATCTGTTGTAAAATGACTTTTTGTGATGATATGTAACTTTCTGTATGAGTGATTGGTTGATTGACACAATTAAGAGAAATCATTGAGTTAGTTTTTATCTATTTTTTGGGATTAATTAGGGACACCAGAGTTCATGGCTTCAGAAGTATATGCTGAAGAATAAAATGAATTGGTTGATAGCTTATTTCTAGTTAATGCCTAGAAATAAATTATTTTTCTGCTATTTCAAAGCCTCAGAAATGACTGATTTGTTTAAATTGTTTTCCAGGTACAAAACATTCTTCAACAGATGGTGAGTTGTAATGTAGATCTTATGTTTAACACTTCTACAGTTATTAATTTATTGATTTGGCTTCCATGTTCTGATGCAGGTATCTAAACCAGTGAAGACTACAGATTCTATGCTATATCAGTTGAGTTCAGTGAATTTAGTAATAAAGACAAGACATTAAATTAAATCATAACTCATGGGGTTTGTCTTGATGTTTTTCCTATTATTTTTTGACAAATGTTAAAACATGATTTGTGGATATGTTATTTTTTAGTTAATGGTGATTGGATATTAAATTGAATGGGAAAGTGAATTAATGATATATTTGCTAATTGACAGCTTTTCGTATAATCGGCTCTTTTTGACAAATGTTCATTTGAATGGAAATAGGAGTTATTGTTTTATGTTAGTGTTACTTTTTAATTTTATTACATGTATTTTTTTAGTTTAACCACATAAAATTAGCATAATTTAAAAAAAAAACAATCAAAAACATAAAGATGGCATTTTTCAAAACCCCACACTTAACGGTTAGTTTTTTAAAATTAAAAAAAGGCTATGACGACGTTTTTGAAACGTCACTAAAAGTTGTCAGACGTCATTTTGTAATTATGTATAACATTCAGAGGCGTTTTTTAAAAAACGTCGCCTATAACAAATTAACGACGTTTTTAAGGCGCCACAATGCTATAGCGACGGCCGCGTCCTCAACGTTTGGTGCTAAGCGTCACAAAAAGAAATAGTGGCGTTTTTGACACTTATCGCGGCGTTTTTTAAACGCCGCTAAAAGTTGAATTTCCTGCAGTGTCCCATTTGCTGATAAATTGTACTTTCTATGCTCATTTTAGTTTCCATAATTTTGGTAATAAGGCCTTGTTTGTTAACTAAGAATTTTAACAAAAAAGTCAAAAAGTCACTAAAATAATCAATTCCGAACGAGGTCAAACCAATATTTCCAAAATCCCAAACTCATTACTCAGCACAGTCAATTCTCAAGAAAAGCTAAAAGTTGTGATTGATTCATTGTAAAAATGAAAACATTTCATTCTTGTCATCTATTAAATTTTAGATATGGTAGAAAAATGCGCACAATTTAGTCCCCATTCCATTTCGAGCATCCTCATAATCAAAAACTTTTGTCTTTATATCTATCTAAATAAACTAATTCGATTTTGTTTTTGGGTATTAGGTTTGGCGTTCCATCCCTTGGATGGGATATTGCAGGCATTACCACAAGTTATAGCACTCTTCCTTGTGCCAACGCATTTGAAAATGCATATATTGCTCTTATTTGTGGAAGGCGTGTATGGACAATCAACATTCATGATTGTATCCACGCTAAACTCTAGCCATTCATGGGTGCTGGCTACCACACCATCCACTCATCACATATTGCCATAACTATGGCCACTTCACGATATGGATGGACTGGATGTTTGAAACTTTTCAACATCCTACGCATGATGAAGCCAAGAAGATGTGATGTGTTGTGTGTATGTATGTAGTCTTTATTGACAGGCGTGTAAATTGTGTATTGTGTTCTTAACTAGAGAGTTGGTTTTAGGAAAGAAAACAGGAATTATGGGTTGTTGGGGAGTATTTTGTCATTTTATATTCAATTGTCAGGCTCAGCCTTAGCCCAAAGCGGAATCAGGATCCTCTCCTTGAGGTTCCTACTTGACTTCCTACTTGCTGGGTCATTAGGCCTACTTTTAGGCCTAATTTTGATAATCTGAACCGTTCACATTTTAAGATTTGTTGAGTATATCATACCTGTAAAAAATCAAGTTAATCGGATATCAGAAAACATGTGTTTAGAAAACAGTTTATTAAATTTTTTAAAATAATAATTTTTAGTTCGATAATTCGAAAACATGCTTTCTGATATTCGATCAACTTGATTTTTTACAGGTATGATATGCTCAACAAATCTTAAAATGTGAATGGTTCGGATTATAGAAATTGGGTCTAAAAATAGGCCCAATAACCTAACAAGTAGGAAATCAAGTAGGAACCTCAAGGAGAGGATCTTGATTCCCCAAAGCGAGCAAGGCTATCGTTTGGGGTCCCCAAGATTTAAGGGCCCAAAATATATATTTTATATATGTAATACTAAGCATTTCTAATGGTTCATGTCATTTTAGCATTGTCAAAGTTATAATTTGACTAGTTACAGTATCAAATTGTCAAATTATAGCAATCCTGTCACAGTGATGAAATGTTATTTTGGCACGATGTTGACCAAATTTTCCTTTTTTAAAATTTTTAATTTTTATTTTTAGGATGGTGTTTTGGGTTTTGTTTTTTGAGTGGTTCTTTTTGTTGATTTTGTTTTACAATTTGTGAACTTTTTTTAATTTTTTTTAAAAAATTCAAAATTTTAAATCTAACCAAACCATAAAAAAGTTTTTTTTAAAAAAAAAAAAAAAGTAATTGAATTTTTTTTTCTTCCAGTGGTTCACTCATTTCTCTAATTTTTTTTATTATTTTATTTTATTTTTTTCTAATGGGTGAAGACTTTAAATACCTTTAAAACAAATAAAAATAAAAACTATAAATACACTTACTGTTGGATGGCCATCTCAATAATTGGTCACTCAACTTTAGCCATTCAATGTCCATCATTTCAACAGAGAAATGCCCATCCTTCCAACTTTAGCCAGTCAATTTTCTTTCTGTGATAATTCAACCCGTATTATGCTTACTTATGCATGTGATTATGTGTTTGATATGAATTTGCATGTTTGTGAATTATGTGATTTTGGAATATATCTGTTGAATGCAGGAATATCTGTTGCAATTACAACTTTGAACGAAAATTGAAAGCCTTAGAGGCGTTAAAAACCAAAATCGAATTTATATCAGTGTTTAGCATGATTTTTAGATCCTACTGTGAAATTTTGTAAAATTACGATTCATAATGATTTAATTAAGTTAATTAGCCTATGTATATAGCTATTTTGAGTTCGTCATTCTTGAGAACTATTGCTAGAGAGTGAGTTAGAGAGAGAGGAAGATGAGAAGCTAGGGATTTGGAAGAGATTCAAGGGACAAACCCTAGATTTGATCTAAGGTATGGAAATCTACTTAGAATCTTTATAAATAACTCATCTTTTGCTTGAAATCAAGAGGAATTTGAAGATTCAACACTTATATGAGTTAGGGTTTTGAGTAATGTAATTATTTGAACTAAATTCAAGAAATGGAACCTTAATTTCTTCAACCTTGTTTGATTTGAGTTTAATCTTGTGAATAATTCATGAAATAAGCTCTAGATTGTTCATACAACAAAGATTTGTTGAAAGATCATCCATGTTTATATGTATTTTGTCAAAATTTGGTGAGATAATTCAAATTTCAAGGTAAAATATTTCTATAAAGTGAGAGACAAATTTCACTTTTCTTGGAAATTAAAATCAAATTTTGGAGTTTTCAAAATTAATTTCTCTCTCTTAAGTCTATCAATAGAGACTCTCACTATTGAGAAAATGACAGACATTTGGCCAAGGGCTTGTAAACTCCTAAATAATCTCAAGACTATCAAATTCTTTTCTTAAAATTCTCTCTAAAGCTTTTCAAACTTGAAGTGAAGGATTATTAAGCACTCCAAACTTGTGTCAATTCTTTCAAGTTACAAACATAAATTGGATTACATTTTTTTTTTTTTTCAAAGAGATTATTTCAAAACTTGTTCAAGATCAAGCTGTTCAAGCTCTAGATCAAACCTCTTTTCTCAAAGTTTCTCTATTTGAAGACTTGAAGAAAGCCATCAACTTGTCTTGTTCAACACCAAGCTTCTACTGCTGTTGGATTACAACCTATTTAGGAGATTGAATTAGAGGATCTATTCTTTAATAATAGAGCAAATTAGAGAAAATTGTACTTATTTTTATTCAAATCAATAAAATTAATTATTCGTTTATTTATTTCTTGTCTTAATTGCTAGACCCGAAATTTGTGTTTACATGGACCAATAATGACATTCCAATCAGTTGACAATAATCGCCAATAATGACATTTTCAATTGGTTTTCATTTTTTTTAATAAAAAATAAGATTTTTTTTTCTCCTAAAATATAGACCAAGTATGGCAAATATTTCATTTTATGTTATTTGATCACAAATATATTGTCATGGAGTTCTAATTCATCGAGCCTAAGCAAAATATTAGATAAGTCTTCTTCTCGTTACTAGCATTGTGTTCTTTTCTTCGGCGTGGAACAGAGATCCGTAATTAAAAAAATAGCTGATTTTCTTCAGTGTGAAATGTGTTGGAGATGCGGATCTCGTTACTAGCATTGTGTTCTTTTCTTTGGCGTGAAATGGAGCATCTCCAATGGTTCATTACTTTTTTCACCAAATCTGAGTAAAAAATAGTTGATTTTCTCAATCTGATACGGCTAGCTCCAATGGTGTGCACCAAAAGGGAAGGGGTCGTCCGGTTGGTCAACCGGCGGGTTGACCGGCCGGTCGATCGGTAAGGCTTATGATTTTTTTTTTCCCTCTTGATTACTCTTGTCAAAACCTTTTATATGTTAGTAGACATTGCTAAGTTGTGAACTGAGTGTAACATTTGATTTGCATTCTATCTTGATTTTGATTTTTCAGAAACAACCCACATGGGTATTGAAAGGATCAGAATTACAGGCTCAATTGAGTCTTGTTCAAGAAGATCTTAAGAAGGCACAGGAGAAATTGGTTTTGGTTGAGAAAGAAAAAGCTCAGGAAAATGAAGAATTAAAAGAAGCCCAAAGACTGGCAAAGGAAGCAAATGAGAAACTCAGGGAGGCTTTGGTGGCTCAAAAACGAGCCGAAGAAAATTCAGAGATTGAAAAGTTCCGGGCTGTTAAAATGGAACAAGCCGGAATTGAGGCATGTCAGAATAAGGAAGAGGAGTGGCAGAAAGAGATTGAGGCTGTGAGGAACCAACATGAAAGATTAGTAGAGAGAGTGAGAGAGTTGTTGGTTACTGTTGATGGCTACCAAAGAGAATGAGAGATTGGAGGAGAGATTGCTCTTGGAAGATGAATTTCCACAGGTACTTTTGACGCTTTGATTCAAAT